GCTTTTATACATTAGCTTTTTTAATTACGTATAATTTTTTATCAGTTTTTTTGTCTAAAAATACTTGTCATTATTGCTGGTTCGTCGTTGTTGGATTGTGCGCGCGCGAAGTAAGCACGAGGTCATCGATCTCGTGATTGCTTAAAGATCGTTGCGAATTCGTGTTGCTTTTTCAGCAAATTGTGCATTGAGCAATGAATTCTGTCATGCCACTCGACGCATTAAATCTACCAAATTTGTGAGACAACAAATAATGGCTTGAAACAATAAATCATTTATTATTTTTTTAGTGTACAATTTTTAATTTGTAATTATTTGTAAATTTTATCATAACTTCTCAGGAGGGATATTGTACTTTTCACATTAAAAGACAAATTTAAAAATATATACAAGAACAGAGTATATTAAACTATATATAACCTTTACACTTCACTTATCTTTAATATTTAAATGTGTGAATTAACTTAATCCTAATTAAAATCCAGTCCATTTTTTTGTATACATTAAAACCTTCCAATATGTGTTAAATTAAGACAAAAATTTTAATCTTTTCTTTTCAAAGTTGCATATTCTTATTCTTTATATTTAGATTCAATCAACATTAATCACTAATGATCAGTCTTCTCTCTCATTACAGAAATTATTTAAAAAATTGAATATTATCACGAAAAGAGTTATTTTGATCGTACATTTAAGCATATAAATAAAATTCTCACAAATTATCGAAAATGTGTAACAAATGACGATTTTTTATTACAGGTAGGTTTCAAAGGCTACGGTTTGACTCCCGCAAAGGTGGATTCCGTGGGGAAGTTTAAGTACGAAGAGAAAGAGTACGAGTTGAAACATGGCTCTGTAGTAATTGCAGCTATTACCAGTTGTACAAATACTAGTAATCCTAGCGTTATGCTTGGAGCAGGTGTGTTATGAATTTTATTAGTAAAATTTATTGTAATTATACATAACATTTAATATTATATAATTTATTATATTGACGCAAATGATTTGCTAAAGAGCGAATGAAATGAAATTAATCCATTTTGTTAACGCTACTTTGAAGATCTATCTAAAATCATCGACGTTTACTAATGCATTACATAAAAGCGCAGTTAAATCTCAAATAGAATTAAAAATGAATTTAGTGCTTTAAATTATTAGTAGAATAATCATTATTAGCTTAAACATTTTGTCTATTTAAAGAAACTTGTTTTATACGTTTAAATTTAGATTATAATTATAAGAAATAAAACATTGTTGTATAAGTAAAAAGAAGAAAAATAACAAATACATTTAGTCTTGTTAATATATAGTATTGTTAATATAAAATTTCATTAAATATTTAATTATCAAAGCACATAAATCGTAGATCTATAGAAAGAATGTTATAAATTAAAGTATAAGATTTGCTCTGATATACAGGTCTTCTTGCTAAAAAGGCAGTGGAAGCTGGTTTGAACGTTGAGCCGTATATAAAAACGTCATTGTCACCTGGCTCTGGAGTTGTTACGTATTATCTCCAGGAAAGTGGTGTGATTCCATATCTGACTAAATTAGGTTTCGATATCGTGGGTTACGGATGTATGACTTGTATCGGAAACAGCGGCCCACTTCCTGACGCTATAGTCGAAACTATTGAAAAGGTAGAGTAATTTGCTGATTTTTATTTAAATTCTATTTGTCATTTTTTAATTGTTGACAATTATGAAATTAATAAAATCGCGTTTGAAAATCATTAAACTTCGCAAAGCTTATCATCCAATTAATTTTATGAAATTAAATAATTTTTTTTATATATAAGCATTATCTTTGCATATAAAACGATGTTAAATATACCTTGTAGAATGAACTTATTTGCTGTGGAGTTCTGTCAGGCAACAGAAACTTTGAAGGGAGAGTCCATCCGAATACCCGGGCGAATTATTTAGCGTCCCCGCTCCTAGTAATAGCTTATGCTATTGCCGGTACTGTAGACTTTGACTTTGAAAAACAACCACTGGGTAAGATGTAGAATTATCTTTATTTTGTCAGATTTATCTTTGTAAAAGATATGTATCACATATGCATAATTTATATACGACATTTCTGTTATTTACAAGGTCACAAAGCCGATGGCACTCCAATATTTTTACAAGACATTTGGCCAACTAGATCAGAAATTCAAACCGTTGAGCAGAAATATGTTATCCCAGCAATGTTTAAAGAAGTCTACGGTAAAATTGAACGTGGTAGCGATAATTGGGCAAACTTGGTAGCACCTGACGGCAAGCTATATCCATGGGACATTGATTCTACGTACATTAAAAATCCACCATATTTCGATAACTTGCAGAAGGTAATTAGATGTACTAATTTTATCGTACTAAACACTACAATTAATTTTGAAATTTTTATGGAATACAGAAATATGTAAAATTTTATTTTTTAATATTAGCTTTTATTTTTCTTGAAAGTTATATTACATATTTAGAATTTTTTAGATATTAATATAGAAAAACTAGCTGAACTATACTAATCATAGCAAATGCGCGGAACAAATTTTAAATTATTTCTTAAGGACATTTATGTGCTAAAGAGTAATTTTGCTTTTATTATAAATTTTTTATTTATAAAAATTTAAAATATGATTTTACAGGAGCTGTCTCCAATTAAATCGATTACAAGAGCGCGAGTGCTTGTAAATCTTGGAGATTCTGTTACGACCGATCATATTAGTCCAGCAGGTAGTATTGCGCGTAATTCAGCAGCAGCGAGATATCTAGCTAATCGAGAGTGAGTTTGATCTATAAGATAGTGGAGACTACGCATGCAATTGGCTAAATTCTTAATTATGATTTTCATTTCCAGCTTGACGCCAAAAGATTTCAATTCTTACGGCTCGCGTAGAGGAAACGACGCCGTGATGGCGCGAGGAACATTCGCTAACATTCGTCTTATGAATAAATTTATTGGTAAAGCAGGACCACGAACGATTTACATTCCAACAAATGAAGAGGTATATGTGTTTTCTCGCTCTGGTTTAATTTATCATTGCATATATAGAGAGCTTTAAAAATTTATTTAATATTATAATCTATTTTAATTCTTGTCATAGATAATATGCATAAATTTTACATTTTTAAACACTTGTATGATTTAAATACATTAATTGCTTAAAAAAATGGCATATCTGTAGCGGACAGTTTTTAAAATATACATTAGTAGCGAATATGTTAATAAACTATTGGCTGAATGTTATTTAGATGGACGTATTCGATGCGGCCGAGAAATACGTGAAAGACGGAACACCTTTAATTGCTCTGGTTGGTAAGGAATATGGATCTGGATCTTCCAGAGATTGGGCTGCCAAAGGACCGTATTTACTTGGTATTCGAGCGGTTATAGCAGAATCGTATGAAAGAATACACAGGTAAATATTTTTTAAACATTATATCTATTTTTTAATAAATTTGAATTTTTCATTAAATTATAAAATACATTTCTTTTAAAAAGAGTTTAATAAAAAAATTAGCTTATTATATGTTTAAACAGTTTTAAATAAAATATTAAGTTTGTTTTATTTTTGTTCAAAGAAATCTAGTTCACAATTGCTTTTATTTAATGCGCATCTATATTTAAATTTGTTTATTTATTTGCAGGTCCAATCTTGTGGGTATGGGCATTGTTCCGCTACAATATCTTCCTGGAGAAAATGCAGAAACTTTGGGGTTAACCGGTTATGAACAATACGATATCGTGATCCCCACAAATTGTCAACCCGGAGAAACAATCATTGTGAACACGGACAACGGGAAAAATTTCAAAGTGATTGCACGATTTGATACAGATGTCGATTTGACTTACTTCAAACACGGTGGTATTCTTAATTATATGATTCGAACAATGCTTTGATGCGCGATTTAAAAAAATGAATGTAAATGATCCTCTTAGAAGGCTACTTAATGAGATACTTAATATTGGTTTTGGGATATCAGCTGTACAAGATTGAGTTTTAAATACATGAAGGAAATATACAGTAAGCGCTATCGTAATAAATGCCTATTCTTTCTATCATCTAAAATTATTAACATGGCACTTATAATATTCGTGTACAGCGTATCATTAATGAATATATTTATTTCATAAGATTTCAAATTTTTGTTATACTAAGTTTTAACGCTGTATTAGTTTTACAGTGGAAGTAATCTAAAATTCAACAAGACACAAAGCTTATTAATCTAATTTTTTGCCATCGTTGTTAAAAAATTATTTTTTTAATATTTTATAATCGTTCTTATACCTATATATGGAAAAATATTGCTTTTATGTGTATATATGTGCTGATAAACATCATAATAATAAAGCGTTGCAATACAATTGACTTTGTTTATTATACACAGGACCACTTTTTAATTATATCTTAATACTTCAAGATGTAATCTGGAAGAAAATATCATGCGAACACAAATTGTTCACACATAAAATTACAGATAAATAATCTTAGATCCATTCCAAATAAGTAAAATACTTTTAAGATAAGGTCAATAAAATCTAAATGTAGTATTAAATAAATAATACGAATAATTCAGACATATTTCAACTCTTTCACAGAAAGATTATCTTATGTTGTTCTGAGTAATAATCGAAACAAACTAGACTCTTGATAAAAAATCAGCTTGAAATCTGCGTATCTTACAAGATGAGATTTAAAAATCTATCGTATTGTATAATATAGGTACAGTATATATGTTAGTTATTATCTATTTCACCGTCGATTTACTATAAGAAATACGCGTTTGTCGACTTTATAACTTACGAGTCAATGATAATCGATATGAACATAAAATAATATCTGCACCTAAATATTTACTTACAATCATTATTTTTATATATACATATGGCAACACACAATTATTACAATTTTTATTCATTATACTTTATAATAAAATAATCGCTGTTTTTATAAAATGTACCGGTTTTACGAAATATATACATCATATTTAGGATCCAATTTTGATTTTGTTCTTCAAGTCTTCCATGCTTCTCATCACAAATTGTAATTAAACTTTTCTCTTTAGTATTAAAAATTTTATTTAAATCTATTTACATCTATTTATCGTGTACACGGAATAAACAACGACTTGTAATCACGCTTTCGATATGAATGAACTGAAAAGTCTAATTCGATCATGTGTCTATCCGTAGCACAGTATAGTTGTGTATTGTCGAATTGCACAGAATAAATTGGGCTGCGTCGAGATGATTCTTTCGAGTTTACGTAATACAGCTAAAAATATTGAAAAAATATTTATCATAAACAATTTGTAATTTACAAAATACATATACCAATTAAAAAATTTGGATAAGAACCTGAACAAAATCACTTTTCCTCTGATCCCACAGAACAGCTAAACAATTATATTGTGTCCCTGTTATCATAGTATATCGATAATCGGATGCAATGCAATATAATGTCGCGTCATATGGATCCACCCATGAGCAAACGCATCTTCCAGTTCTCAAATCATAATTGTTAATATTACATAAAGCCAAAAATAGTGATTGAATAATCGAGATATGTTACCTCATGTCCCATTTTCGGATGTATGTATCATAGCCGCAAGTGAGTAAAGTGTTGGGATCATCCCATACCATGTCTAATATTCCAGCGCCGTATTTCCAATCATGCTGTATTTTATCGACCATTGTGTAACTGAAATCTCTCCGTTAGTTTTTTTTTCAAAGTATTTGATATATGTATTATTCGTATGATCGATTAAAATCGTAGTTAATTCTAGATCTCATGGATCAATTAATTATTGCAATATTACGCATACCGCTCGACATTGATTACATGTAATGGAACGTCAGTAATTCCAGACGAACCAACGGCAAATCTTACTCCCGTAGGATCAACTGAGAGCGATTGCACCTTATCCACTAGATTTATATTACAAATTTCTTTTGTGTAACGATCAGTAACTTTTGTCTTAGTAGTAACTTCTGTATTAGACACATCTGTATTGGACACATCCGAGTAATCCCAAGTGGGTACATTCACAATACCTGGATGCCTAAACATCTAAACAGAAATGAATATTACATCATATACTGTATTAGTATATTACTGTATTAGAATTACCAAATTTTACCTTCACTTCACCACGTTCTGAACCCACAATAACATTTTTCGGTGTAGCATCTATAGCGTTGACACAAGACAAGAAAGACTTTGGCCAGAGCATCGTTGCGCTTTTCCGCTTTTTTAAATTCGTCATAAAGTAGATTATAGCACCATCTCTGTATTTTTACAAAAGATTATATGTGTGACAGAAATAAAAAATGATGGAAGATATAAATATGATTATCTAAATATATATACGTATAGCCGCATATGATGAAGTTATTCCAAACAATGAATTTGCTGATGTCAGCTCCGCTATAAAGTGATACGTTATAGTAAAAGCTAAAAGTAAACTTATTAGTAGACGAATATTCAAATGGTGTTCTTTCGTGACGCTTAAAGCCATAAAGGCCATAACCGGTCCCAGACCACCAAAGCACATTGTTTGTCATTCTCAGCCATGGCATCAGGTTTTTATCATTCCGTGAGAATACATTTTCTTTACTGTATATTCCATAATGCCAGTTGTAAGATACAGACCATGCTGCACGAGGATGCAGCAATGTATTACATCTAAAAATATAACAATCTTTTAATTATCTTATGATATATATTAAAATCTTTTAATTTTTATTTTATTCTTTCTTGTGTACACATAAAATTATCAGAAAAGGGCAGCTTTCTTTTGTAAACTGTAAAACGCTAAGTATCCCATAAAAATACACATCATATAAATAGAACAATAAATATGATTATCTCATTATCTTATCATGCTGAAGCGAACTGTTACGTTCGTGCGATCGAATTTAATTCGTTCAAATCCAAATTTAGATTCAAAGGGAAATATTTCAAAAATTTAAGTTCAAGTACAGGTTAAAACACAACCTAATAACATACCTTTTACGAAACCTTTCCGATATTTGATTCGTAACGAGAAATGTTTTGCTTTTCTTGGTCCAGGCTATATCTGAATGTATGATCTCGTAAAATCGTTTGCATACTTCGCTGAGTCGCGTCAAATCGTATTCATTGCAATAATCGAAGATTAATAACAACACCTCGCTCGGTAAAAGATCCAAACGGCAAGAAGCATCTGTCATCTTTCTAGTCATCAAAATAGGTTTTTTTTTTTTTAATGCGCTAGATTACACTACACTTTTATCGGATATTAGATATATATCCGTACCGTTCTTAAAAGAGAAAAGTCCTAAAGAGAATATCTAAGAAAAACATGGAAAATCCTAAAGGTATATGCACTGAATAGTACTGAACTGAATACATCATAGAACTATATTCCATGGAACATATCAATAGATCTGTTCGTATTGCACTTTTTACACTCAATTTTTGTTTACCTCAATTTTTGAAAAAAATTGTTGAGGATTTTAAGCAACACAAGACCTACTTAAGCCGTAATCACACTACGGGTTGCGCGCTCTGTTGCGATTGAGATTACGGTTGAATGTTGGAAACTAACCAATCAGAGCAGGAACTGCTCTGCTCTGATTGGTTACATTCAACCGTAATCTCAATCGCAACAGAGCGCGCAACCCGTAGTGTGATTACGGCTTTACATACAGTAATGTAGTTTCATGTATCTATAAAACGTGTCTATCACATGAAACGTCTGCGTGATAAATGCAGATAAATGCAATCACGTATGTGTATGTCTTTTCGATGTGTACGTCACATTAAAAATTGTTATTTTATTTATTGTTTTTTATTTCTTATATACCGAACAAGAAAGAAACTTTCTCGCGCACACACACTGCACATATACAAATTTATAGTATAAAAAATATATTATTATTATTATTATTATGTATAAAAGATGTGCAATACATCTTAATTATTACTGTGTAATCCAGCTTAACATCTTTAGATAATGTTTACATTTCTTACAGATAAAAATTATTATGTAATAAAGAATTTTCATATTATATAATTTCATATAATATATTTTACATCAAAATTTTTATTTTAATAATTAATATAGTTTATGTATAATATATACAATATGCATATATATCCCATAGACAGCACACATATATATTTATAAGGTTTATTTTAAATATTTAAAAAGTATTTTTATCTTAGATTGTACAAATTATAAACATTTATATATATATGTATGCATATATATTATCTTTATAACTTATTTTGACCCCTATATATTCAATCGACTGCAACATTTATTCAAATTAAATTTATTTTTCGTCAACAGTCATTTTGAAGCGTTATATAAAGTATAATATATAGGTGTCGGTGCTGTAAATCTTTGTAAAATAGTAGTGAAAACTATATGTCATTTGAAAACCGCAGTATTTGAAGTACTGCCTCCTTTTCGCATTTCAGTCGAAGAAAAATGCCGCGGAAGTTCAAAAAATGATTTCCTCGGCTTTGAGCGAAAACTGTATTGTACAGTATATGTAAAAAGTGATTTTAAAGATTTCGTAATGGCAATTTCAATTTTTTTTCATCATAGAATACATCAACTCAGAACAACCATCTTTTTTCCGAAGCGAAATCCAGTTGTCTGAAAGATGTCGAAAAGTGTGGAAAGTGAAGGGGATTATTTTAATTAGGTTCATATTCATTCTTTTATAATTTTACATCGAAACTTAGTAATAAAAATGGCCGAGAATTAAATTGTAAACATAATATATAATACATAATATATACAATAATATAAACATATATATAATATATACAAAGTGCACCTACCACCAGGTATCTACTATAAAATTTTGAGCGTATTCGATACTCTTTAACGAAAAGTTATACCTAAAAAACCAAAGGTGATATAATTTTGGCCGGTATACTATGTATAAAATATTATGTATTATACATATATATAAATGTGAAATTAAAATATTAGATTTTTTTGTTTCTAATAAAAATATGTAAAATGGACATCATTCTGCTACATCACAGTGTCTCTGTGCATCATCAGGTTTCCTCCATTCAATATTATTTTGTGTGCCTATAATACAAAAAGAAATTCCTTCTTTATAATACTTTGAAATAAATTGTCATAATTTCGACGATTGAAATTTACATAGTCCCTTACCTAGTGTTTTATGCTTTAAGTACAGAGTGTAAAGAGTGAAATACACAAATGCAGTAAATACTGAAAGTACTGAAAATATTTTTAAAGTCGTTGCACCACCGAGTTTCTTATATAAAATACCTCCAATCAAACTGCCAAGTGCGAAACCTTGAAAATATTGTACATTTATATTACTTATATGTATAAACTCTTTCTATTATAAAATGATTGGAAACTAGAAAAGGAAATTAACTGACCTAAACCGTCATCCATTCCTGCTACAATTCCTTGAATAGTAGCTGATGTGCCGGGTGGTGATACTGCGCTCGCATATGCTACTATTGTTGTATAACAAAGCGCGTATGATGGTCCCTGCATAAAAAATTCCACGGGAAGTACCCACCATGGCGTTGGAGCAAGAGATATTAATCCCAGCCGCAACGCGTAGCATACAAAACAAAATGTAAAAGTGTAACCGTATCCAAACTTTTTCAGTATTTTACCTGGGAAAGAAGATTCAATATTATACTAGGTGTAATATATAAACGATATCTTTAATTACGTAAATGCTCTATATATCACGAACTGATAACAGAGAAATAATTTACCAGACAGAGAGAAGAATATTATCTCGCCACCGAGAGTTTCTGCGGCTACAATTAGACCTTCTATTAATTTAATTTCGCCCATATATCCAGTCGCCATAGCGAGATCTTCCAAATACCTAAGCACAATAAACTGTACTGAATATAATTCGATTTAATTAAATTTTGAAAGTTTATGACAACTAAATATAAGAGAATATATGTTAATAGAAATAAAGATTTACCAGAACAAAAAATAAATAATGAAGCTATCAAAGATGCCCGCAAGGATAGTAAAACATAGAAATATAACAATTGATTTCAATTTCAAAAGAGTCCATATATCTTTCAGTATATTTGACGATCCTGACATAAGCGGCAGCTGTAATTAGAATATACAATGTAAGATGAAAGTTGTAAGAAAAGAACTATATACTACACATATGTTTATTTTTTCATTTATTTCTTTTTAATTCTTAATATAATCACCTCCAACTTTCGGCAACAGATCAGATCAATAAAAGTAAATGTGAGCACAAGAAGAAACGCCGGTGTATAAGTTTTGTAAATTTCTCCTTGCGACCACAAGTCTATTGTGTACCCAGCTAAAAATGCTGTTATGCCGAAACCAATTGTGCCCCATACTCGCTGTCTACCATATCCCATTTGTCCACCTTCACCTGAGAAGATATTTTGAGAAAAATAATTCTTTTTTACTCAAATTATTATATAAAATTTAGTTATCACAAACGTTATAATGAAACTTGTAATAATAAACAAATATTAAATTGTTTATTCCGTAAAAAATTGAAAATTATGTCTACGTGAGCATTTTTATATTTTACTGAAATATATTGGTACAATTCACTTACCTAATACATCAAAGCAAATCGCGTCGCTTATGCAATTAGAAACATTAAATCCAATATTACCAAGAGACATTAACAGCACGAATCCCCAAAAGGTAATGGATGTATATAAACACTGATCTTTAAAATTATCGCAAGTTACATTACAATTATAATTGTTTGTTATATTTGTTTGACACAATGATGTCTCATTAATATTTAATAAGCATGTGGTATTCGGTGAAATAATTGTTTCTTCTTTAATTGCATAAAAAGATAATCTCGTAGAAAAATTTGCATCCTTGCATATCCAATGGCATGTAGTATCTTTTATAGTGTTACATGATTCCATTACTAAAGCATGCTTAAAAGAAAAACATAATTTAAAAATATATTGCTTTTTATACACAATAAGAACATATAAATATACAGATCTTTTTAAAGATTTAATAAGTATTAACTCACAAATTCTCTCATAAAAGTCAATTTTTAAACAATTGTTATAAAAATTTTATATTATTCGAAAATAGAGAAGAAAATTCGAAATTACATAGTCCATATCGCAAGGCAGTAAAGATGCACAGGAAACATTTTTAAACTGATGATCTGGTAAAAGTGAACCGGGTAAAGCCGGTAAAAAATACATCAAAATATAGCAACTACTTGTTGTGGCAAGTAGCGCTATAAATATCAATTTTCTTCTAGTGTAGAAATAATCCACGATGAATCCAAATGCTGGTTTTGCGATCAGAAATAAAATAGGTAAAATTGCCGTAATGCTACCCATAACTAATGGTGAAATACCGAGTTGCTTGCCGTAAACTGGCAGAAATGGCAAAATAGGACCCATAGCTAAAATAAAAGCAATAATTATTATAATATAGGTACTTACATAATAAAACAATTTGTGTTAAATTTAATAATCCACTCACGTATTCTACCAAATAGTCACTTCATTTTTGCGTTAACACAATAAGATGAATATATTAGAAAGTATCACAAATATGTATAAAAAATCTAACACAGAAAATGTGTGTAATACTGGTACAATTTTTAAGCAAATTATAGAAACATATTTTTTAGTAAAATTAACATTTATGATTTTTTTGAGTGAGATAAGAGTATATTATTTGTAGAGAGTATAATATAATTATTTTCTTAAAAAATATATCAAATATAAAAATATATTTTTATCACTTTTAATATTTTATAAATATTTTTATGTTAATGTGTTTTTCATAAAATGTACCGTATAAAAAATAAATGAGGATCTTAACACACACACAAAACAAATTTTTTAAATATAAGATATTTAAGATATTATATATTTTGTAACTACTCACCGGCCATAAAAGAAAAATAATGTGCCTTTATAGGCAATTGCGTATAATTAATTTTCATGATTTATATTTGCAAATATAGGCAGGTACTGATAAGCTCAGAATCTCATATCTCATACTACTTTATCGTTTTCCTATGTTTTAATTGGTAACATGCTGCAAATTATAAGTAACGTTAAACTTAATATTATACTTAAAAATAATAATACGCAAAATACTTTTTCTAAATATTATATATATTATACAATTAAATATATATTAATATGAAACATTATGTTTAATATTTTCATAAAAACTACCGTCAGTGTTATACGCGCATTTGAACGTAATAGTATTTCGATTCACAGTATATCGATAATCTCGAAATATTCCTCGTAAAAACTTCAAAGTATACGAACTTGATACGATTCCAAAATGGCGATGCGACGTCGAAATTATCATCTGCACGCGCTGTATCAAAAAAGTCAGTCATTACGTTTCAAAGTTCAATGGTTTTTAAGAATTAAGATATCCGACAAGTTCCGCTCATTCGCCGCTCATTTCGTGTGGAATCGTCAATATTACTATTCTCTCGAGCATGAGAAATCGTCGATGAACTCACCGCATTTATTGGCCATTTCTAATTCGGTGTCAGGTTCTTACTTTAACAAAGTTTCTTTCGTAATATGAGCTTCTTGATCGTTTGATAGGCCGCATACTGTCAACGATATGGTTCACTGTCGAGACGACAAACACGCGCAACTGTATATGTGTATCGAATTAATGTGTTGGATTTAGATGTGTAAACTGCACTTTCTACACCTACAAAGTTGAGATGCGTAGGAATAAACAGAGTAGATATTCAGGTTTTGACGAAACGGAAAAAAGAAGCTGAGAAACGCATGAGGAGAAAGTAGCAAGCGCAAATAAAAAGCTACTGAATATGCTTATCATACATGTTGAAAAAAATTGTTCATTTGATTAAATTAATTCAGTTCATCTTTATTACGTTTGATGAAGAATGTATGTATTTAAACATATTATATTTATAGTTAAACATATTACTATATATATTTAACTTAAATATATATATACTTTCTCCAACAAAAAAAATTGAGATAAATTATAAATTAATTTTGTCAAATGAATATTTTTTTCTTAATGTACTAACAGTACTACTGTTTATAACATTAACATATTTTAGCCATTTTTAAGTTGTCGACAGATTCTGGCATAACTTTTAGAATTGAACAAAAGTGAAACCGAGATTATACATATGTATATAAATTTAATTTCACATTTATGAATCTGGATCGTCAACATTATTTTGATAAAACACACACAGCCGCAATATATACGCGACACGCATGTGAATTTAACAAATCATTCAATTACCGCATTATACTTCTGATACTTAAACCAGATTTATCGCAGGGGCGGATCCAGAAATTTCTCAAGATAGGAATTCCCAGAGAACACAAAATATTTACGATAAATATTTATTACTATTTATCTTTTGAAATGTTATATAAATATTTTATACGTATTTTATATAAAAATTTATTCGAAATGTTATTAAAGTATAGACTAAATATTTTACGTAATATTTATGATAAATATAAATAAATATTTCTAACAAGTATTTTTTACTTGGAATATAATGTTTTATTTTCATAGCATTTACTACACATTTACAATAAATATTTCATAATATTTATAATAAATATTTGTGATCTGTGCAATCTAAAAGATGACAAAAATATTAAAAAATATTTTTTTAACGTTTTATGAATATTGTGCGCTGCCTGGGCTATCGGCAGAGCCGATTAAGTATTTTAAGACCCCGGATCATTTCGTCGATAAGACCCATGTAAGGGCACTAATTTTTCCGTAAAATGAAAAAGTAATAATAATTTAGATATTTAAATTTTTTAAAAATATTCGATAATTTAGCACATTAACATTATGTTACACACAGTTTTGAAAAAATAATCTAATAGAAAAAAAATTGTTAAATTGTTAATTGGAACAATTTAGAAACATTTTTGCCTCATTTTTTGTTCGCCGAGCTGTGTATTATAAAAAACTCACTGTCCCACGAGTATGTGGTTTTAGGAAATTAGGTTTATAAAAACGAGACTTGCGTGCATAACTATTATCTGCAATTCGGGACGTGAGATTCGCACATATGGGGTATTAAGAGCTTGGGTTCATAGAAAGAAACTCGTGAGCTCGCCTGTCTGTAGTTTTGGACGCGAGAATCTAGCCGTAAAGCTGTCCCCCGACCCCAGGTGGCCCAGGTATGTAGTTTTTGGGGCTTGGGTTTATAGAAATAACTAAATTAACTGTGAGATCCCTGGGAAGATGACGCCCTGAACCGGTGCCCAGTCTGGTCCAAGCCTAGATTCGACCCTGGCTATTGGCAGATATGTATGCTATTGAGTTGCCAAGTTTCTATGTATCAAAAACTGAAAAGAGAAAAAAAGAAAATTTTCACAGTTTCTATACCTTTTCATTCTTATTTTTATTTTACAAAGGAGATACCTTTTAAAAATATTAAAAGTAATATAACATTTTACTACAAATATTTTTACGAAAAAATACACACAAGATGGAGGCCACGACCCCCATTGTAGCTCCGCCCCTGATTTATCACGAGGAAAAGCCACAACGTAGCCTTTTACATAATGTTACATAATTATGCGGTGTCTACGATAGAATAGTAAACCTTAAGCCGTAGAATCTATGAGTTTCTTAAATTGAAAAATATTTTTGAAATGTCAAATTGTAATAAGCAAAAATATTAAAGGTATTATAATTTAACATTTTGATATAAATATTTTTATAGCATATATAAAAATTTTTATAGTACATAAAAAGAGGAGAGCGAGAGCCATGGCCTCTCTGGATTCATTCTTGATTAATAAATAAAACGAATATCTTATCACTTGTTTCCATGCAGCACAGTTTCCTATGCTTTCTAAACATCCTAAAGATGTTCCCAAAATGTTTCTCGGATAAAGTGTGCTGTATGGGAACAAGTATCTTTTAATCTTGGATTAATTTCACTTTTGCAGTGTATTACTTACAAGATTACTAATAAAAATAATTATCTTGAAAATTTACATTGTAATAAATTCAATTCTAATTGTAAATTGTTAATAAAAAAGATCTGAGATTACGAAATATCTGATGATAATATAATCTTGTAGCCTCAGATAAGAATGATAACGATAAAATTACATAAAAATTACGATTCTCTTATTAGTTTAGCTTATTGTTATATTCGTTATGAAATCATGAATTTGCGAATTTTGACACTGCAGTACCTCAAGTAGTAAAATGTTAAAAAACAATATTATCATTTTTTATCTATTAGATGTCACTAAAAAAAAACTCACGTTACTGTTACCTAAAATTATGTATATCGTTATCTATATTCTTATATTTACCATTATCTGTATCATTATGTAAACGATGCGCTTTTGTGCCTTGTAACCCTTTGAGGACGCACATATATAGTGTGACACATTTTTAATCGCTAAACTTAGTTTATAATAAAGTTTGAAAACAATAATTTGAATACAAATATAAATGATAATTTGCCTATACCGTCAGTTTACCGTTTATCATTAGAATCATCAAATAATTTTAAATTATTATAATAATAATCACAATTCTATATTTTATTCTAAAAAATTGCATCTACACGATATATGATGACATAGACAAAGAATAATTTTACATTTAAAATGATACCATTGATAAGAATAAGATAACGATACACTTCAAAAGTAATGAAATTTTCAGTACAGCTAGTATAGCACAATTTACTTTGAATTTATACTACATTTTCTATATATTATTCTTTATATTATATATTATAATTATCATGCTTTAATCATTATCATGATATTGATAAAACGACTAGAAATCTGTATCATTATTATCGATGATTAAGATCTAATCTAATAGATTATTTATAATATTATTTTAATATTGTTATCATTTATAAAATGAAAATATAATACATAACTCACATATTGATAAGTTTATTTGTATATTTTTAAAAAGTTCCCATTAAAAATTTAGTTAAAACAGATCTAAATTTAATGTTTTTTTTGTTTTTCTATTAATATTCAAAATGTTCAATCCATCTTTTATTAATAATATAAGATAAAAAAATGTTTAGCAAGTTTTACTATTTATAAGAAAAATACATTTTTTTTTATACATATCTTGTTGTTTTATCCATCCGCACAACACACATGAACATTAAAGAAAATTTAAATTTTCTTTAGAGACTTTCTGTCATGGATGGATTAAATTTAACAAAAATATTAACAAAAATATGCTGTCCCAAGTTATCTGCACTGTTCCAAGTCATTTACATTTAGAGTATATAAATTATAAAAATGTTCTACGATAATATATTATTATTTATAAAGAAGGTACATATGAAACATGTTTGTAAGAAGATACGTGTAAATACTTTTTATCTATAATACATTCTCTTTGCGCATCATCGTGTTTTTTCCATTCAACGTTATTTCGTGTATCTGTAATGAAAATAAAGTTTCTTATAATTTTATAGTCATATATCAGAAAAATAACATTTCGGTAAATCGAACTATTTAATTCCTTACCTGACGTACGTTTTAGGTACAAAGTATATAATATAATATGAACTAATGCAGAAAGTGTTGCGATTCCGGAATATATTCTCAAAGTTCTTCGACCACCAACTTTTCTGAACAAGAAGCCACCTAAGAAACTACCAATCGCATAGCCTAAAGATATTACAAAGTTACATATAATAAATCGTCAAATTTGTAGAAAAGATAGATATATCGCAGAAAATTGTAAATATAACTGCTATATAATACAGATGTTAAACGATGTATATTTATGTATATGTTAGCATTTATATCTGTATTTGCTGGGATTCATATTACTATGTGTCCAAAATTTCTTTCATTGTAAGATAATTCTTGATATCTAATTACATAATAGAACGTACCGAGACCATCCTTCGTACCAGTCGCAATTGCTTGAACAGTAGCCGATGTACCAGGTGGTGATATTATGCTTGCGTATGTTACTATTGTTGCATAAAGAAGCGCCAATGAGGGCCCTTGCAAAATAACTTCTATCAAAAGTACATGCCATGGCGTTGGCACTAGAGATAATAATGCCATCCTCAACGCATAGCACAAAAAGCAAAATGTAAGTGTATAATCATATCCAAACTTTTCCAATATTTTGCCTTTAAATAAAAATCTTTTTTAGAACAAATATTTCAATTACACAATAATTGTACCTTATGTAACAACATATGAAAAAAATATTAACATTACCAGACATAAAGTAGGATATTACTTTGCCGAGCAAACCTGTGGATAATGTTAAACCCTCTATTAATTTAATTTTTTTCATATAACCGGTTGCCATAGCGACATCTTCTATATACCTAAAAATTAATTACTAAAATATAATTAATCTCTAACATAAAGTTTATTACATAAAAACTTATAATAATAAAAATACAAATATATTGATGAAGAATTTACCAAAATAAAAAGTTAACCATGAGACTTTCAAAAATACCCGCAAACATAGCAGTACATAGAAATATAATAATTGGCACCAATTTCAAAATTGCATATACATTTGTTAATATATTCGGCGATTTTGACAGTGGCAACTGCAAAGAAAATATATGTATAATAACAGTTAAAAACAAAAAACTATAGTATTATACTATTGCCCTTTTTTCTTCTATACGTATAATATTATATTATACCTTCAATTTCCTACAACAAATTAAATCGATACAAATAAATACGAGCACTAAAATAAACGCTGGGGTATAAGTTTTGTAAACTTTCTCTTGCGACCACAAATCTATTGTATAACCAGACAGAAGTGATAGAAGAGAAGAACCGATTGTACCCCATAGTCGCTGTCTGCCGTATTTCATTTGTCCAGCTTCACCTGAGAGATTAAACTTTATTGCAAAGTATTTCTCTTCTGTATTAGATAAAATATATATATTATGTAAAGAGAAAGAGAAAGAGAAAGAGAGGAGAGAGAGAGAGAGAGAGAGAGAGAGAGAGAGAGAGAGAGAG